TAATTAATAAAAAGTTAAATAATTCAAAGAGAGATAGTAATAATTAATTATTATGAAATTTAAAATAATTATATGAAACATTTATTCTATTTTAATAATTAAAGATTGTAAAATTCATGGTATTTATGAAAAATACTAAATGTTTATTAAAAATAATGTTATAAAATATTTTCCAATTCAATCAAATCCAAAACTATGTAATATTGTTTTATTCGAATTTTACATATATTGCTTTTCATAAGTCACTAGATACTTAATAATAGAATATAAATAAATAAACATTATAAATATAATACAATATTATTAATTAACTTTACTTTTAAGTACTAAACATAAATGATAACATGCAAAATTATTGAAAAAAAGAATAAATAAAATAATATTATAATATTAATAAAATAAAAAATATATTAAAATAATAAATAGCTTACTTATTGCAAGTTTTTTAATATAATTTTACTTTTTAATATAATTTATCATAAAATGAAAAATATTGATTTTTCAAATTTTATAAAAAAAAAAATTTTATAAAAAAAAAATTTTATAAAAAAAAAATTTTTTTATATAAAAAATTTTTTCAAATTTTATAAAATTCTACGATTTATAATTAAGTCAAAAAAGCAAATCATTATAAAAAAAATATTAAACAAATATTTAGAATTTTATAACAGCAATATTAAACAAAAAAATTCACAAAAATTCACAATGTTAATCATTAATAAATTAATGAGCATATGTATATTTAAAATTAACAAATATATTATATGCATATATTTAAATTTCTTTCACATGACATTACGAATTTCGTTCATACTTGAATGAAAAATATCGAATTATTTAAAAAATTGAATTGTTTAAACGATAGGGCGATCGTGTGAAAAAATCTTGTCGAATTTATATATACAATTGATATCCATGATTCAAATATTAAACGATATTTATATTGTTATGTGAAAAAGAAATCTTAGAAACCATTTTGAAATGTGCAACATTCTGACGAGAGCAGAATAACGATCACTAATGCCCGCGATGCTCTGTTATTCTCAAGAAATTGTATATCAGAAAATAAACAATCCCGAAAATAGATCGTTGCAGGCATTATTATGAAATTTTTCTACGAATCTGCAAAAATTAGCCAACCTTTTTCTTTTCCTTTCATTTCATCTTGATCGCTCATTCGTGAGTTTATTTTTCAAGGTGCTAGGTCGTTATAGCCATGTAATTATGGATCGATAGGATAGCGAAGTTGATCCTCCGCGAATCTGCGCGAAATTGCAGGGTTGAAATGGAAAGCAAGACGAGAGAACGTATTTCTTCTTGTGTCGGTGAGCTGTCAACAGGAGGTGTGGTGGTTAGTTTAAGAGAATACTTTTATCGCGATTAATGACGTACAATTCTCGTTCTATCCTTGGATGTTCTCTTCAACTCTGCACGCCCCCGAACATTTGCAGATACCGAGCGAAAATTCAATTAATCTGCCACGTGTGAATACGAATAATCCTTTTCCGTGTTTTTTTAATTAATTCCCTCACCTCAAAAGTGTACGAAAAACGAAGAAAACTAGTAAGGAGAGAATTATTTATTGCCTCTATCGGGTTGCGCACAAACTAAGACTGAATGAGTTGTTCATTTTGTGTAATGAGATGAGAGATTGAGTCTATAGGTGAGAGGAAGATTTGAATAAAATAATGATAATGAAAGAAATAAATGATAGAAAAGTAGAAAAGATAGGAAAAAAGGTATAAATAATAAAAGAATAGGATTATATAAATTTTTTTAAAGAATCATGATTTATAAAATTATTTTGAATGAAAAAAATAAATATTTAAATATATTAATACTTAAGTAAATAAGATTGAACATTTTTTATTTGAAATGAAGTAATTATGAAAAAAGTAATTACTTCAAATAAGAAATCAATTTTTTTGAGATTTGCAAAAAAAAAATAACAATAAGAAATTGGAATAAAATAAAGAAAGTAGAATTGATTGGATTTTTGAAGAAATTATAATGAATTATAATTTGAATGAAATTCAATTGAATTTTTATGAAAATTCTATTCTTGTTTAAATCAGGATTGAGCATTCTTTTAAATAAAAGAAGCAAATAATTTGTAGAAAAATATAATAGGAAATAAATTTATTTTTATATAAAAATGTAAATGTAAAAATGTAAATCAAAAATTCTAAAATTTAAAAAATAATAATTATTTTTAAAAATTTTGTTTATGAATTATCAATTTGATTAATTAAAATACTAACAAATAATAAAAATTGAAAAGATAACAAATAAAATATATAAGAAATAGATTTTAGTTTAGATCAAGAAATAATATGAAAAAAAATATAGATCTAAATAAAAGACAATTCCGCATTATAAAAGAAAAACATCTTTATTTTGCAATAAAATTAAACAATAAATATTTAATATTAAATTAATAAATTAATATTAATATTTAATATTAAATTAATAATATTAAATTAATATCAAATAAAATGATAATTAAATAATTTAAAATTATTAAAATAATTTTAAACATATTATTATTTAAATAAAATTATTTAAAATAAAATAGATAGTTAATTATAAAAATAAAAATAATAGTAAATAAATGAAAAATAAAAAATAAAAAAATAAAAATTTTATTTAAATAATAATTATATGAATAAGATAATTATTTTAATATCCAAACTTAATTTTAAGTTTTTATTTTACTCGTATTAATTATAGAGTTTTAATCAAGTTTAGTTTTTAAGCATAGGAAATCTTTATTTTTAAAACAATTGTCAATATTGACATGAATACACAAAATTTTGAAAAATTATTTAAAAAGTTTATATTTTATAAAACATAAAATTTAGAAAATAAAAATTTAAAATACAAAAATATGAACTGAAAAAAAGAAAAATGTTTTCTATCAAAATTTTTTTTTTTTAGAAAACTAAATGTGAAAATTTGAAGAATATACATAAAATTATATATATACATAAATAATATTAAATAATATTAAATAATTATTAAATAATATTAAATAGAACTTCTAAAATTTTCCATTAATGTAATTGATAAATAATGTAATATAAAAGAGTATGCCAAGAAACGGATAGCTTTCTAATAATTGAAATATACTTGTCAAATTTATCGATGTCAATTAACCAATTTAGACAGGAAAAGTATGTTGACATAAGTATATGTGACAGGCATTTTTTTAATCACATTCTAATAAAGTATATTGATTTTGATGTTTATAGTTTATAAGTTTCTCACAAATTCATTTTCTTTATTGTAATATATTAATTTGACAAAATAATTATATTATATTGTAATGGATTAATAAATAGCTACTTTATATACTGATATTTTTATTTAATAATAATAATATTCAATAAAAATTTTACTTTTTCAATAATATTTTTAATATGTTTATTTATTTTTTAAATGTTGAATTTTTATAATTTTAAACATTAACATGAATTCTTTCTTTTAATGACATTACATAATTAAAAAAATTAAGTAAATAACATATATTATATAATTCAAATGCTACTAATTTTAAATACCAGATTCAAAATTTTATAATATTTAACGGTTTGAAAATTACCATGAAGTTTTTCATTCTTATGAAGTTGAAAAGCTTTTGCAAAAAAAAAAGCTTGCAAAGATACGATATGATTAAACAGAGAAATTGCGCGATGATTAATTGCTTTTCACTTATATAAACCTGTTTTAGTTAAAATTAAGAAACGAGCAGAACTTTCATTCAGTCTGATAACGCCAAGAACTCTAACTAAAATATATTTAAATTACTCTGAAATTGTGTCACCTCCGATTTTATTAAGCCAAAAGAAAAGAAAGAAAAAGAAAATAAAAATGAAGAAAAAATAAATTCAGAATATTTTAATTTATTAAAAAATAAGGAATTTATTTGAATCATTGCTTCTTTGAATAAATGAATAATCTATTAATTTCTTTAATAATTTAAATTTACATATAAAATACAAGCTAATATTTTATTAATATTATTAATACTGTAATACTTTAAATTAAATTTGAATTAGATTTGAATTAGATTTGAATTAATTTTAAATTTTAATTTAAAATTTTTTTTTTAATTTTAATTTTATTTTTAATTTTAAATTTTTTCTCATAGATTTATATAATTTGAGTTAAATTTTAAGCTAAGTTTATTTTTATTTTAATTTCCATTCTAAAAAATATCAAGAATTCTGGCGCGTAAAAACATTTATAAGTACTTGCATACTATTTAATTGCAATTATAGAATTTCTAGAATTATTTTTATTTTTGGAAAAATTAAAAAAAAATACATATTATATATAAATTATATAAATTTTTAGAAAAAAAATATCATACAAACAAAAGAACAATTTGTTATGATAAGAAGAAAAATATAAAACAATAAAATTAGAATAGATAAATAATAAGAATAGATAATAAGTATTTATATTTTGTTAATTACAATTATATTAATAACAATAAAATTTACAAATTTTATATTTTAAACATATAAAAAATAAAATATAAGTTACTAAAAGTTATTTATTTAAGTTATTAAAATATAAAAAATCAGTGATAATAGATAAATTACAAAAATCTAACTAAATAGTACAAAATAATAAATATAAATTAATATATAATATAATAATATAATATAAAATAAAAAATTATCAAAAAGTTTAAGTATAATTATATAACTGTATTGTATTGTATAACTGATTATAATATTATATATTTTTTTATATTATATATTATATATTTTTCGATTATTATTCAATAATTGTATAATATTTTAATTATAATTAATCAATTAAAGAATTAATTAATTATCATGAATAATAATGAATTATTATAGTATATAATGTTCAACTTTCACTTAGAAAAAAATCACATCATTATCTGCGATCAGCTTATAATTTTAATTGCCTCGATACTTATCTCTTTAAAAATATTTCACACGTTTAACTCTTGTTTTTCCTTTCAGCCGTGGTAGTACGCTATTTAACGAGGCGATACATTGGCGAATACAGCTCAACCAGTGGTAAGTTGTTCTTTTTTTCCGTTTCTTTTGTACTCTTTAATTCTTTCGTAAATTTATACCGTTTTTGCTACGCGTTACTCGAAAATCAAACTTTTTCTCTCGTTATTTTTATTTTGGACATAGTTTTCAATATTTTCCATCATGATATAAGTATAAACAAACTTAATAATTTGTTCTGTCAGCTTTTTACTCTTTCTACAATCGCTTGATTACTTTATTATATTAAGTTATACTTTGTATTTTTAACTGGTATATTTTATAATCGAACAAAGATTTCATTTTTATCTTAGTAATGCAGAATTATATTTTAATGACATAGAATAGACTATTTCTTTCTTAATGAAAATGGTTGAAGATTTAAATATTAATTGATTAAATTTTATAATTATTTATAAAAAAATCCCAATTTTTCTAAATTTTGAATATATTATAGAGGAAAGTATCTGATCTTGAATTACCTATACCTATACATCCTGTCTACAAATATTGGCTGATACTCAAAATATATTGTTATAATTTCGCTAATCATAATTTCGATCATTACTATTTTAATTATTTAACGACTGTTTTATGTATTATTTTTGGATTCCATGGATTCTTTGGATGATCTCAGATCAGATTTGCCAGATGATAGCCAATATGATATTCTCTTTACTATTAAAATAATTCAATTCCCTCATAACGAATTTCCGCATGAGAAGAATACCTGACGTCATATTATCTTCACTATGATTATTAGATAGATGATTATTATTAGATAGACCAGGCTTTAGGCCAGAGTCAAGTATTGCATTATGTTACGTGATATAATTTTGCTTAATCTAGCAATAGCAATGGAAATAATATGATATCATATATTCTTTTCGTTCGCAAAAATTCGTTATCATAATTAATTTTATAAAGAAAACATATTCTTAAATTGTTTCTAATATTTGATACAAAAAAAATTCAATATTTTTTAATTTCTAAAATTGCTTAATTGATCTAATTAATCCTTAATATGTTTAAAAAATTTTTGAATATCGTTGATTATTTATTGTCAAATTTAAAATATCAATTATTACAGTTATCTGTAATAGATTTGTACAATGGATTATCTTTGACTTCCTAGAACTTCTTATATCTTCAAGTTATTTTGATCCGTAATATTCAATGGATTATTTTTCATTCAATATAGATAACAACAATCAAAATATATATTTCAAGACAATTCAGATAATTTTAAATTTATATTAATTATTTATATTAATAATAATTATAATAATTAATTAATAAAATAATATAATAAAAAAATAATTTATTATATTAATTTATTATATTAATTTTTTTATTATTATTATTTATGTTATATATCGCTCATTTACTTTTATTATGACATAATTAAAAATTTTTAATTTTCTAATAATTTAATTTGCTGATACATCATATATGAAAAGAAACGCAGATTATATACGATTAAAAGAAAAACATATTTATATTAATTGTTGATATATTGAAACAAAATTTTAGAAAAATATTCTTATAGAATTGTGATAATTAATCAAAACTGATTTATCGAAAAAAGTTTATAGATCTATAAATTCTTTTTTTAGAAACATTTAATTAATTTTAAGAAATTACAAATTAGAATTAAACAAAATTAAAAAAAATATTGTTATACCATTAACTACTATTATTATCATTAACTATAAAGCTTATAATGTGTCATCTTTCAAGAATTCTCGAGGAATTATAAAAGAATATACGTTGAATTATAATAATATGATTAAAAGAGATCGTGGAGATTACACATGATTTCTTTTCACGGCTCTGAGGGCGATCATCGGCCGACCGCGAGTACAAATTGAACGATCGTGAAAACGGGCCCTGAGAGCATGCAACAACTTCTTCCCCGTAGAGTATCGAATTCTCGGAATGCGGACCATCGTATAAACGTGATTATCTAGACTCCTTTTACTGCGAGTTCCAGTTCCCCTTTAAGCTATGCATACCGAGAGTCGTGGCGAGCAACGACAAGATTTTCAACAAGATTTGCCTTCTCGCATTTTTACTCTCGTATTTCTCTTCGTTTTTGCCTGACTCGTTCTTCTTTAGTATATCTCCAGGGTGGATTTTATAAGTATACGAAAGGTGAAGGTTATATTATATATTAAGTTAGTGGAATATGAATTTTACAATTTGTTTTAATATTTTGGAATAATTATGATATTATAATATTATTATATATTATAATATTATTCGTAATAATATAAAAATATTGAATTTTGTTACCGTTTTTTTTGAAAATAAATGACAGTCAATAAAAATGAATTTCGACTATAGAATATATCATATCATAATGATAATAAAAAATATGTGTAATATGTATTAATAATACCTATTTCTAGAATGAATTATAATATACCATAAATATATCAAAAAAACTTTATTAACTTTGTTTTTGTTGAAGATAAATGACATATGAATATATGTACATATATTCAATGAATGGATTCTAATTATAAGATAGGACATCATAATGATGATAGAAAATTAATATTTCCAGGATTTATTGATACCAAAGATCTTTGTAAGTTAATTATGAAATATTTTTTTTACAATTTGTTTTTTTTTATATTTTATAATAAATTATATAAATTAAAAATTTTTATTTTCATTGAAGATGAATGAATATTCAATAAATAAATTTTTATCATATATATAAGTATTATATGATATTATAATATTAACAAAAAACTAATAATATTTTCAGATTAAAAAAATATAAAATATTTGTAAAATCATGGAATGTGCGCTTCAAATTTGATAATTAAATTCTGAAATTCTAATTTTTGATATAAAACAATTTATTTATAATGAATTAAAGATCACGATGTATTAATAAATGTATTAATGTAAAAATAATATATGTTTTTAATTCTTTATAAATATTACTGAATACATTGATGGATTTTATATATAAAGTTCGGTTATAGGATTGAATGATTATTTTATAACGATAATTACAGAAAGATAATTTCATTGCAATTACTATATAATATAAAATATATATAATTTAGAATTAATAAGAAATTTATAAAAAAACATAAAAAGAAAGATGAAAATATATTGATATGAAATCATTTATAAATTTAGGAATCTTTTTTTATGGAAATTGAGAATCTCAGACATATAATTACAAATCGAAATAATTATTCATAATTAGATACTTTACAAAATTATATATATATATATTATGTATATTGTTAAAAAATATTCTCGAAAGATTAAATTTTCTAGCAGAAAATTAAAAGAATATTGATTGTAATCTTCAATATCTTCAATAAAATTCTACATCTAATTTAAATTTTAAACAATTTAAAAAAAAAATTATAAGAAAACTTTAAAACATCAAAATGTTTTCTAATTTAATCTTTTTATTTTTTCATAAAAAAATTTAATCTAAACAAAGATATTAGATTAAGTATTATTTTAAAATATTATTTAGATTATTTAAAAATTTAAATTTAAAAAAATTTGGTTTCAAAATACTTATATATGTTAAATGAAATATTCAAACTGAATTATTTTGTATAATAAACAAAATCAAAATCTTTCATTTATCATCTTTCAAATCATTTCAGAAACTTAAAACAAATCGCTCATAGGTAAGAACGTTATCCGCATCGCGCATTATTTCAGCGCGAATCTCGCCAATGCGATAAAGAATTTAATTTCTCCATGGCGGCACGCTGGCTGGTGTCATTCACATCTCCAGACAGCACAATAGTCCATTTAATAGATCGCTTTTGTTAATCGCGCTACTAGAGGCGCGCCGCCATTATGGTACCGCGAAAACAACGCGTATGGGACCATATAGCGCTTTGTGCGCTTATATTGCGCTTATTATCAAACGTTTATAAACGTTTTGTACATATTGAACGAGCTATAATTAATCTTTGAGCATACAATACAATACAATTTTAATTAAAGATATTTTTAAAAATAATTGATCACTAGTACAATTTACGATATAATAAATTATAAAAAAAATACATTTTGAATTTATAAGAATATTCAAACATGTTATAAATTTGTTATCTAATTAAAATAAAATAAAATATATTTTTTTATAGTATGAATATTTCAATAAACTCAAAATAAAATAAATATAATAAATAAAATTGGTAAAAAACTTTAATGCAGAAAAATAAAATATAATAGAGATATAAAAAATATAAAATTATAATATAATTAATATTTTATAATATAAAATAAAATATAAAATATAAAATAATAAAAGAATAAGAAAACTTATTCATTAATAAAAAATAATTTTTAATGTTTAAAACTATTCAAAATATATTTATCAAAAAAAAAAAATGTTAAATCAAATAACTTTTTTTAAAAAAAAGATTGCTATCATTAATAGTTCTTTATTTTGGATTTATAAAGATAAAACAAATGATATAAAAAGATAAAACGATATAATGATATTTTTTAAAAATTTTTTATTATCCATCGTTTATTTAAGAATATGCTGAAAAAGACATTATTTAAAATACATTTAAATTTGTTTCAATATTGTATTATCTATTCTATTTTCTGAATTTATATTATTGCATATTTTATGTAATATATATCTTATGTTAAATTAACTCTTTATCATAAAAAATCTGTTTATTATTTGTTTAAATCTGTTTATATTATTATATATATAATAATATAATAATTATATATATATATATATATATATATAATCATTTATATAAAATATGCATATACATATAATGTGAAAAAATATAAATATAAAAAAATACATATTTGCATAAAATAATTTTATGTATTTGCAATAATAATAATTCGTAATTTAGCAATAATATATAGCATACAAAAAAAGCATATTTTCTAATAATTAATATTATATAATAATTATTATAAAATATTATATATAATTATATTAAATATTATGTTATATAATAATTAATTATAATAATAATATTAATAATAATAATAATTAA